CTGTGTGCAGAAGCTCCTTAGAAGAAAGGCCTGGTGATGTACATCTGAAAAAAATCAACCGCTGAGCACCCTGTGAAGCACAGGTCTGCTCTGATCCACGGGTTCTCCGTGAGTTGGAAGCAACTGGACAATAACTCGTGGAGTATAGTGTATTTTATGCAACTAATTCCTGATTTTGTCTTCAGCGTGTCTTCTAGTGTTATAGCTGCTAGGGGCGAGAGCATCCGTTTTGACTCACAGCAGCCTTATGAGCCACAGAACAAAACGCTGCTCAGTCCTGCGCCGCGCTCACTGTTTCTGTTGAGCACAGTCGATTCTGTGTACTCCGCAGTCAATCTCAGTTGTTAATCTGGATGCTTAGCTAGTTCCTTGTCGGTATCTCCTGTTAAAAGAAGCCTGAAAGCCTCCATCGGAAGTTCCCCCAGGTGCATTTCAGCAAATGCCTGGAGGTTTTACGTGCAGTGTTAGTATCGCTGATTTCTAAATATTTTTTTCATTGTCACTCTGACTCATGGGTTATTTATAAATGATGTTTTTCCCATTCCTCGATGTATGCTCCATTTGATTTTGTTTTCTTTTGTCTACCTTGTTTGGTTGGTTTCTAACGTAATTGCATTGCTGCCAGAAACCATGGTTTATATGAGGCTGATGCTTAGCTATTTGCTGACATTTGCTGTAGGATAACTCGTGATCACCTTTATAAATTATCCCTGTGTGTTTGGGGTGTGTGTGTGTGTGTGTGTGTGTGTGTGTGTGTGTGTGTGTGTAAAGAGAGAGAGAGACCCATTTACTCAATCAAATCTTCTCTATAATATACTATATTTTATTTGCTTAATTTGTTAATGATAGAGATGTATGTTTAACCTTCCACTAGAGAATGATTCATTGCTTCCTTGATAGCTATGTCAAGTGTTCATTATGGGGAAAATATTGAGAATTCATGCCTTTTTCTGGCGATCACAACATTTATCATTATACCGTGATCCATTCTATTTTCATAAGGATTTTTGCCTTAACTTCCGCTTGGTTTCAGACTGCTTGGTCTGATAGGGATACTCAGTACCCAGCAGTTGCTCCTTGGTTTCAATTTTCCATTCTTGTTCTTTGAAGCTTTTTGTGCTTTTAAATGCAGGTGTGACCTTTCAGAAGCAGATCGCCAGGTCTGCTAACCAAAGAGCCACTTCCAAAATTCAAAACCTTCTGGCTAGTCGTTGAGAGCTTAACCTTATGCCACCCAGGGACCAGATAACCCTTATTTAGAAACCAGACTATTTGCCCAAATTACCCAATGAGAAACCACAGCCTCATGCCCTCACTCTGGCCTGGCCTACAGCTCTTCTCCCCAGAAAGCACAGTCCTTGACTATTGCAGAGATCAGCCTCTGGACCAAATTACCTAGCTTTGTAGATAAAGTGTGGCTGCAACAGAGCCACGCGGTTCATTTATTGTCAGGCTATTTTGGGGTTACAACAGCAAAGTGGAACCGTCGTAGACAAGAGGCTGAATGTGGCCCACAGAGCCCAAGATCTTTCCTATGTGGTTCTTTCCAGAAAAACAATTGCCAACTCAGACAACAGAGTGTCTTCCCATGTGTCTGAACCTCATCCTTAAACTCTGGCCTCTTTTTTAATGATGGTTCCCTAAGGCTGTGGTTAATATCCAGGCAACGTGTCTGGGCATCCCAACTCCCTCACCTGCCAGCTTTAAAAGGCCTTACTCATCCTTAGGCTGGGCCTCTGTTTCCTTATCTGTCGTGAAGATAAGAGTAGCCGGCAGCCTAG